GGGTGGCCCGAAGGCCTGAGGTAAATTCCCCTCAGAGAAAACAAAGTCCTTTTTTTTCTCTCGAAGAAAAACAAAAGTGTGGAAAAGAATTTGGAAAAGAATTTTCCAAAAAGCTATCAGCGAATCGATCAGACCGACAACGAAAAAGGTCTTTCCAACGCGGTGGTAAGAAAGGAACTGGTGGGATATCTGCGCCCACCCCTCTGGGCATGCGCGGTGGGGTTCCTGCGCATGCCCGGAGGGAATGGGCACGAAAATCCGTTAAAATAGAGCTTGCTACAGCACCGATTGATCCAGCGCGTGCGCACTGAATCCCCATGGGTGTGAAGCACAGAGACCACATCGAAGATCAGGAGATTCTCTAAATCACTGTAAGGTGCCCTTAAGCTACAAAGTTTTTTGATCTCTGATGCATATTGAATGTGATTAGTAACAGGAAAACAATATTGAAGTGTAATTTTGAACTTCAGGAAAGCTTTAGTGCCAGGCACACCACCTGTGGAAATGTAGTCCGTAATGGAAGCCAACAACTGAGCGCCAAAACACCCGCTAGTTTCTGTTGTGTTGTGAGAGTTGTGTACAGTGCTAGAGCTCCTCCCTAATGAAAACAAAAGTAAACATATTACTATATTTTTAATTACACATGTTTAACATCCATTCATTCAAAATGTTGAAATTTCAATGAAGCTTCTTTAGAAACTACTCAATTAACATTAATGCAAGTGCAACATTTTATACAGTATCAACTGTTTAAATCACTGGTTTGCAAAATGTGAAGCGGCGTGTTTTCTCCACATACAGCTGCTGGCATGACCTTGGGTCAGTCACAAGTTCTGTCAGAGTTCTCTCAGCCTCACCTACCTCACAGGGTGTCTGTTGTGGGAAGGGGAAGAGAAAGGAGATTGTAAACCGCTCTGAGACTCCAAGTGAAGAGCCGGGTATAAATCCAATCTCTTATTTCTTCAAGTGCAAACCTCATTTGGGTCAATGTTAAACCTCTCTCACTTCCTGATCAGTGAAGTCCCAACCTCTTGCACTGACTAACACATTCGTTACCCACTAGTCTAGATCCTGCTTCCTCCCTTCCACATGGCATAACTTCTGAGGATACTACATTTACAGGCTAACAAGTCATGCTTGGGTGGGTGTGTGGAAGGAATGAAAAATCCATTTTACTTTCTGGATAACAATACTAAATTGGCTGTGAAATTGTTTATTGCAAACATATTATTAGTCCTCCATTATTTTGCCTATGTTACATACAATGAGGCTTAAAACTGTCATAATATAGGAAGTCTAAGTTGACAGAGTTTGTTGTATAATTCCTCACTTCTTTAAGCATATCCTTTGATGATAGCTCTAGCCCCAAGAGACTGCTTCATCCCCATGTCAGATAACGAATGGCTGTAAACCTATTAATGATACCTTCACACACCAAGTACAAATACTGAAAGTGTATTAAGACCTTCTCTCCAGAGGGATTTGGCAGCTCCCTAATTAGAGAGCTTTGCCAAAGCCAGACATTTTCAATAAATTACATGATATTCATCTGAAGGAATACTGAACTATCACCAAGTACACAAGGGCTTATTTTTAGAATATTCTCTTGGTTTTAAAATTGTTGCTTATGCTGAGCCTTGTGGAAAATGCATGCTATAGATTTAAATAAAAATATAGTACATCTACACACATCATAAAATGTGTCATTCTGACCGACATCACATCATTATAGGTACAGCATAGGAAAATGTCAGTGAACACATGTCTTTTGAAATTGACTAATTACTGTCCTCAAAAAAACAGGGCTTCACCTTCAACAGCAATACAGCCAAGTAGCAATAAGGAGTTATTTTTACCTGAGAAAATCCTCCCAGGATTATTCGGTGTGAGGGAATTCCATTTCTTACTTCTTGCTCTACAAGCAATTTCACTGCAAAGGAAGCCTGGTGATTAATAAGATAGTAGTGACCAAGTGACCTGAAGAAAACTTTAAAAAGTAGGAATGAATCACTAGATTCCTCTCTCTGCTCACAGCCTTGAGATTCAGAGGGACAGCTGTTGATGTGTCACTTACTACCACTATTTGCCAGCTTTGGGGGAGGGGGATCCTCAACACCTGTTCTGTTCAAAATTACCCCCAATACCTCCTGTCCAGCCTCCCCAAACACCTTTCCCCCTTTTCCAGCCACTCCCTTAAACTAGTCAGATACACACATGCCCAGTCTTCCTTTGCCCTTGAAGAAATGTCAGATTTCTAGACCAGGATCTCATTAAAAAATCCTGTAACTCTTATTTTTTTCTTATGTAGTAAGCACCTCCACTACAGGTTCCAGTGCATTAAAAGTCAGAAACTGAATAACAAATCAAGGATCTCTCTGAAAGAGGAATCTGGAAGTAATACAGAAAAATTAAAATAATAAGGTTGGTTAAATGCATTACAAAAATCTAGTTGCACTTCAGAAAAAAAACAATATATTTGAGACTTAATGGAAAGTAGAGAAGAGGAAAAAAACTATATTGTGAGCTAGTGACATTACAATGAAGGGGGCAAAGGGAACTTTGACTAACAATGATGATAGCAGAAGCGCCCAGACCACAATGCTGCAACACTGACATTGTGGTAAAGCTCATTCCATTCAGAGTACTGCCACTTGGCTCTCAAAGCTGGATAGGGAGATGCATAATTAGCCTCAGCACAGGAACCCGAGACACTCAAATGCCTATACAAATCACAATTTCCTATTGTGCAAGTATATTAGTATCATTATTCAGAGAAATATATGGATACCAAACACCAGGTTTTCCAATCAGCGATTTAGGATCATTTCATTCAATCAGTAGGCATATGCAAATTCAGATTTAGCAATACTGATTAAAATCCACCTCTCAGAGAGATCTGAACAGTTAATGTAAAAATTCTATACAAAATTATAAGTATATAGCATACTTTCAGTTTATTAAAACTTCATTGCTCTATGACATTAATGCAAGCCATAGTTAATTTTACAGAATACAAATATTACAATTCCAAATGGGTATGAACACTGGAGAATTCTCAAATAATTTACTCTTCTGTAAGCCACCCTGAGCCAGCCATTGTTGGGAGGGCGGGGTATAAGTCTGATAAATAAATAAATAAAGACAATTCATCCTTCTCTCCATTATTTAATACAGGGTTACTAAACATACCATTCTCTGCTGCTTGCTTGATACCAGCTTCATCTTCCTGTGCATCTGGAGAGAGTCCAATGATATCGAACCTTAAGAGAAACAATATATTACCCAAGCCTCTATACCCCAGCAGCATTCAGACTAGGTATTAAACAAAGCATATTGGTTCAGTCTTGTACCAAGGAGAGACTAAGAATAATCTACAAAATGCACATCTTTAACAATCCCTTCTAACACAGTAAGGAAAGTTTTTACTAGCAAGGAGATAAAGTGATGGGAAAACTTTTACCAACTTAATTTCTGCATATTTGTAGTTTAAATGGAATGAAAATAAGGCCAGAAAAAGCTGACAAGCCTACAAAGGAAGGGACCTTTGGAAGCCAAAGGGCTGTGAATATAGCGAACTGGGGAACAACACTGACAGAACCCAAACCTCAGGATGTGCACCTCCGTTTAAGAGATGCTTAGAAGAAAAATTCTGAACAGCAAAATCTACTGCAGACAGAAGAATGTAAGGCGAAACTAATTTATTCAAACCTTTATACCCCATCTTTCCTTTTTGACTCAAGGTAGCTTACAAAATCAAGTGTAAAAAAACCAAGGTACCTTATATCCCCAATAGCCCCTCCTGTTGTAATGCCTGCAGCCTACCATCAAAAGGCCTGGCAAGCAAAACAGCTTTGCAGCACTTGCTATACATTTCCTGAGGCGGTAACCCAGCCCATTCCATGTGGTGGAAGGTAGGACTGAAAAATGAACACAAGCTCTGGTCGATGCCAGATGAACCACCTTAAGCAAGGGATCAGCCCTCAGGTGGCAGCCTGAAAACTGTAGATGATGCACAGGGACATATGGAAAGAGATGATTCTTTAGATATGTGTGTCTTCCCTGCACGATGAAGGACTTTACAGGTCATAGCCTGCACCCTAAATTGAACTCAAAACCAAACTACCTACCAATGTAGCTGTTTTAAAATCAGTGGCATGCTCCCACAGGCTAGCCCCTAACTATGAACAGGCTGTCATATTCTAAATCCACTTGCTGTTTCTGAATTGTCTTGCAGGCAATGCATCATAGAACCTGCTGTGATCTCTTTGTGAGGTTACAAAAGCATGGATTAGCATGCTGAGGTCAGCTGAGTCTAAGAAGGGAGAGAGTTAGTGCACTAATGCAGCTGATTAAAAGGCACTCTTGGCCACTACACCAATCTGCTTTCAAACTGCAAGGCTGGGTCCATGAGCAGTCAAGTTCTCAATCATTCTGCAAATACCAACTCCATTCCATACACCAAGAGTGGATTCAATCCCTCCAAACCATCAGACTTCTCAATCTGCATTACTTTTGCCTTGTCTGGAGTCAGCATCAACTTGCTTTGCCTTAGCCACTTGACCATGGCCTTAAAGCACTGGTTCAGAGCAGACAAACACATCTGGAAGTGCAGATAATGAAATATAAAGCTGGGTGTCATCTGCATATTGATGGAATGCCACCCCAAACCACCAGATGTCATTCAATGTCCTTGTGGCGAAACGGGGACCCGCCCTCAGCCCTGGGAGACAGAGGTGCCGTACTGTGGCTCACAAGCCCCTGTTTTGGCCACCCCTGCCTGATGGGACTATTTCTTTTCGTTACACGCTGCCACCACTCACTGAATTGAGTTACCGCCTTCCTTGAGGGACAGTGAGACCCCTCTGTCTAAATTCCCCACCTTGGGAAGTGGGTACCTCGATCTTTGGGTGCCCCCTGGAGAGTTGGCAACCCCTCAGATTTAGGCCTGTTTGTGTCCCCTGGCCTCCCTTTGCCCCTGGTAACGTGCAGAGTCGGGACGACTATGTGGTTAAGGCACACCAGGCTTTTTAAACTCAAGAAAGGAAGATTTATTCAAATATATACATATTGGGCACAGAAAATAAACACAGCCACTTCAACACAACTGGGGCACAGAAAATAAACAGGATAAAAACGTAATTCCTCTGTCCCTACCCACACACCCTCTCTACCTCTGTAGTGGATTGTGGCCTCAGGCCTGGATTTGCGTTTCCCCTTCCTGTTGGGGAGAGAAACTCCAGCCCTCCTCCTCGGGACTGGCCACCAGCACTGCCACCCTCCTGGCTCTCCACCATGATCTATAGTGGCCTGGATTGCCCACGGAATCTCTGGTAACAGGAGTCCCACCTGTGCTCTCACTTGAACCTGCCGTCCATGCTGAAGACCAGGCTGAGACGGACTCTTTTCCCCTCAGGAGCCAAAAAGCCACTTTCTCCTTGGCCCCGCCACTGGGGTGTGTCCCTCTTTTCCCGCTCTTTCCCCTCAAGGCTGCTGGGAAGTGTAGGCAGGGAGGTGTGGCAGCTCCATTGTTCCCTATGGAGTACCCCCCCACACACGTAAGGAACTACCAGGCTGGTATCCATTTTAAGGCCTGGCAGCCATTTCGTCACAGTCCTCATCAATACTGAATTGCATGGGTGACAGAATGGAACTCAGGCACTTCACAGGATAAATCCCAATCCATTGATTCTGCTCCTATCGTGTAAACTTTGTGCCAATCAGCCAAGAAAGATCAAAACTACTAAATAAGGATAACGTGTTCAACTGGATCAAAGCTCCTGACAGATTTAACAATATCAGCATGGATGACTGTCATCTGTCCGAGTTCCAATGATTATCCACCAGTGCTACTAAAGCAGTCTTGCTTTCAAACACAGGCCTAAAGGCAGAGTGAAATGGGTCAAGAGCAAATGTGTAACCCAGGACCCACCGGAGCTATTCCACCAACACATGCTGTTATTTCCTTCTCACCAAAATGTGGAGACCAACCTTTAACTGGCCATTTCATCCTCAGTCAATAAAGGTTTAAGCAAAGCATCTAATAATTGCTTCCTTCAAAGGTCTAGGGATAGATCCCTCAATAAATGAGGCACTGATAGTTTTATCCAAAGGCTCCAATACCTTTCCCCAGCATATTAGAAGCCAAGATGGGCACGGATCAACAGCGCAAGTGATGGCTCTTACATCCCAAGGATCCTTGCAGCATCCTTTGGCAAGATCAATCTGAATCTATTCATAACCAAAGGACAAGCAGGAACTTCAGATACCACTGATAATGGATCTACTCTCAACTTGGTCTTCAAGTCTGAATGGATGGGACAGATTTTTATCAGCAAACAAACACACACACAAGTTACAGCTAACATCATTAACAGCATTCAACCTAAGTGTTATCAAGTCACAAACCACGTTAAACAATTAAGCTGGATGCAGTTATCACTGCCACCTCACTTGTTTGCAAATGGGTTCTGTGCTGTTTTCTATGCCATACAGAGACGAAAAAGGGGGAACCTCAGCTTATAGTATACAAAAAGGAAGAAACGTTAAGGAAAAACCATCAACAATATGAATGTATTCTGTACTAAAATAAAAATAAATTTATTCAGCATTAGTCTGTTGCATATTTCTATTTCACGCTAATGTGTTAATTCTGTATTGAGGTTGGTGGTCACAACCCAACAGTTACTGTTTATAATGTTAGTATGCTTCCAGGCACCACTTCACAACAATAATAGCTCTAGATAGAACATGACACAATATATATGTATAGATGTTACACAATGCTCTCAGACAACATGCAAAAAGTGTCCATAGACCTCCCATGACAAAGATGTCACTGATATAAGGTGGAAATTTCCTATGCAGCCATGTGCAGCCAGTGTACAGCCGTACACGTTTCCTAGGTATGCCTGCATTTCAATCTATCTTCCTCTCAGATCAAAGTGGCTGTGTGTATAACTTGGAACCAGATTTCACAGAATACTTTTTAAAAATTTATTACATTTATATCCCGCCCTTCCCAAATGGACTCAGGATGGGTAACAACAAAGAGCTTAAACAATTAAAACCAATAATGTAATTAATTCTTAAAACAGCTAAAACCCTTACACAATTAAAAGATGGTGCATTAAATATAGCAATTCAGACCCTCCCAATAAGCCGGACTGGTGGTACTGAAGCCATACCAGGTTCATATAGTACCAGACTCCACACAAGGCAAATAGCCAGGGCAACTTCTATGCATGGAGGCCAACTCCACCGTCTCAACTAAAAGCCTGGTGCAACAACTCCATTTTACAGGATTATTGTAGACCAACAGTTCTCAACTTGGGCTGAATCAGGAGGTTCTCAAAACTAACTGGAGCCCCATGCAGTATTTGGAACCAGGTTTCACAGAATATATTCACAAAATTATTGCAGAGCGAGCAACAGTTCTCAACTTGTATTCAATAGAGAACCTTTTTGTTTTCTATGCCATGCCTGAGGAAATACATCCAGGTTCCTTCTGTTTGACATGACAGACCATCAAGGTTTGTTGCAGCACTAGGCTCTTCCCTCCTATTGTGACTGCAGGTCTTGCCCACCAAAAATCAGTTGTCACTGCTGCAGAAGGACAGTGGCAAAGTAAGGTGAAATGTTACTCCATTCTAGGCCTTGCCTCACCTATCTTTCTCTTTATGCACTACAGTTCATGGAAAGGAACTTTTACATTAAGTGTTATGTGAAATTAAGTCACTTGAGCAGGTTAATATGTATGGGCTCCAATATTTATATTACCACATACATTTCAATAATTTTTTGCCAAACACATTAACCTTTTTTCTCATCCCCATCTGCCACCAACTCCCTTCAATATTAAGTGTTCAGTTTGTCAGGAAAATTTCTCCTTTCTTTCTGTGGAGATGCACAATGTTGAAGGCTACTTATTTTTAAATCCCATTTATTCCAGACTCTAGTCATGTAATATTTAAAAATGCAGAGTGCAGAAAAACCACAATTACGCTTTTCTCGGATTACCGACATACAACAGACTACACATGTATATGGAATTCTAAGGCTGTAGTCACACATGCTAAATAATCTACTTTCAGTGCACTTTGCAACTGGATTTTTACTGTGTGAACTTGCAAAATCCACTTGGAAAGTGCACTGAAAGTGGATTTTTTAGTGTGTGTGACTGCAACCTTTGTCTTACCGTTATATACTATTTGGTAGTGCAGTCCTAAACGGAGTGACATCCTTCTAAGCCAATTGACTTCAATGGATTTAAATGGGTGTTACCCTGTTTAGGATGGCACTATTAAAACACTTTTCAAAATTACTATCAATTCCAGTGAATAAACAAGGGAAGAAAAGATTAATAGAGTAGCATCTTAGCATCTTCTACCCCTCTGCATATCACACCTAATCCAATTATGCTTGCTATTGTCATTTGCCTGCTAATGTCATTCAACATCTGAAATCACGCCACTCTCCAAAATATAGGACAGATGGACTCACATTCTGTCTGTATCTGAAGAAGTGAGCAGCAACCACAAAAGCTCATATCCTGCCACAAATTTTGTTAGTCTTTAAGGTGTTACTGGACTCTTGCTCTTTTCTAGTGCTCCATACAGACTAACATGGCTACCCATCTTGATCTCTCTCTATGGGAAGAAAAATGCATGCCCAAAACCCACAGTAAGCAGACATGACTACAGCATACTATAAACTGATCTGGACGCAAAATCCAGCTCAGCCATGGGCACACTTGCTTTTTGCATCCCTCACAGAGTTGTAAAAAAAGATAGTCAACCCTATTTCCTGTTCAGGAAGGTAAGAGTATAAGGGCGGGTTATAAAGCAGATAAATAAATTGGATAAATAAATAAATCCCAAGAGTATCCTAGGTCAATGGACTTGGAAGAATGCAACTCTGCTTAGGACTACACTGCAGGAGTGCTAACTTCACAAATTTATTTCCAAATTATTACTTACCAAGACGGCATAGCCATGTTCATGTTTAGTGAAACTGGCGTAACTGGCCTGGAAATTTGGGGGAGAAACAAACTTTTTAAAAAGAGAAATACTGAGAGAGAACATTTGAAAGTATTAGTTTATGTAGCTAAGTCCTGGATTGGTTTTTATATAGAAACTGAGCAGGTACCAGGGACAATATAAACTATTCCCTAAGCACTGTTCCTAATGCTGAATAATTTGCACGTGTCTTCAACTGCCCTGAAAAATACAATGCTTCCCTTCCCCACAGCTTTGTAAACCCCATTTTGACAATTCTTGCAACCTGAAGTTTGCTCCGGTGCCTAGAGCTCTGATGGCCCTCAGCCTTACAGAGTTTAAAAAGAGGGGGGAAGGGGGAGTCAGCCCTTAAAAGGAATGCCCTACAAAATTGCTAGGACAAAACTCAGTCCCTGCTGGCTCTCACAGCCTGCTTAGCAGCAGCAGTAACACCACCACAAGCAGCTCCCACAGAAAGAGGATGGCTTTTGCCTTTATTGGGAACTCCTGCTCTCTTCTGCCACCAGCCACCAGAAAGCTGAAAGCAGGTGGAAATGCTTGGTGGGGTGGGAAAAGGAAAGAGTCTTTTCCCCAAAGGGCAGGAGTGGGGGCAGAGAAACCTGGCCTTGAGAGGAAGCAACAAGTCAGTCTACAAGCTGACTTTCACTAGTGCTGGAACCATTCAGAGTGCAAATAACAGAGTAGATGATGAATGGTTTTATACTCAGGTTTGGTGTACAGGATTATCATCCATATTTACTGAATCATTGAAGTGGGGGCTCCTGTCTGAAATCTATCCTCCCCACAATGACTCCATGTTTTAACTGAAAAGAGAATAATTCTTGGGTATTTTTCCTTCTGTTCTAATTTTATAGCAGTCTGGTGATAGCAGTTTGCCTGCCTTACATTGGCCCCGTTCACACAGCGAATTTGCTGCGGGAGAGCCACGATTGGATGGCGGATTTTTCGGGTGCGATCACACCACATCTGGCAAGTGGAGCACACCCGTGGCCAACCCATGGCATGCCGCCGAAAATGCGCAATAAAAAAATACGTCCTCGAAGGTAGTAGCAAACTGTTTGCCACAGGCTGCCTCCAGACTCCCTTGGTGTGATTGCGCAGGCGCGGCTTTTCCCTCCAGCCGTCTTCGTTCCAGCGTGCATGCCGAGGGCCGGAACCATGGGTTGCCGCCGATGTGTCTGATCGTGTTGTCAAACGGCTAATTGCAACACCGCAAATAGCCACGCCTCCCTCCCCGCGTTTTCTGGCCCGTGTGACCGGGGCCAATATTAGCTTAAACAAAAGAAGCCTGAGTTTGCAAAAGGTTATGTTGTAATACATGTTTTTTAGGTGCCACAGGCTTCTTCTTTTTGTTGACATAAACTTAATATGGTTATACCCGCTGGAACCCATTAGTTTAGGTCCAGTTTGTTTACATTCAACTGAATCAAATGGGTGAGGTTTTTATTACACAGAACAGTCAGTTTGCATGATGCTCAACAGAACACCAAGCCCCTACCCCAAGGAGCTTACTAAAATGTTTCATAAGGAAGATGGTAAAAAGAGAGGAGAGAAGATGGAGAGGCAAAACTGAGGAAAACTGTACATTCATTCCAATGACATATATATGGGTTTAGCCCCTGCAGGGGAGTGAAACTAAGAGGTTGTACCAAAGCTTTCCAAAGTTTTTTCCTGGGCTTTGTCACTTCAGAAAAGTAGCTTTACACACACAACATTTTGTACCCTATCTGAAAGATGTGGAAGAAGCAACTCTGTACTTTATCCAGGAAGACATTTCAGAGACCTGGGACAACTGCAGTGAAGGCCCTGCTCTTCACATCTAACTGATGTAGAGCTAGAGTCTGACCTACTGATTTTAGAGCTGCCGACTAGTGTGGAGAAAGATGTCCTGTCCCTTTCATAGAAACTTTAATGTGTGTGGAAATGGACTGTTAGAAGCATTATGTAGCAAGAAGGTAAGTGACATCATCCCCCTAATCCTCTAATAAAGGGAAATGACATTTTTTTTCCAGTTAGCAACCCCATTTATAACATAGAGACAGCATTAAACTTACTGTGACAAAGGAAAGTTTTTATTTTGTATGGATGAGTTTTGGCTCCTAAGTTCAAAGAAAATTTGTGAAGGCCTGTTTTAACCAATGCAATGTGAACCATGTGTACTGTTCCATCTGTGTTCATTAAGTGAAGCACCATTTGCTTTCTTGCATTACTTCCATCATACAATAAGATGCATCACAGGTCTGTTCTTCCCCTCTACTTTGCCTTAAATGGGACAGAGCACTCTTAGCCAAGACTTGGGTTTTTTCCCCCTGTTCCTGATTTTTTTTGCCTGACTTTGGTTGCCTCAGAAGGATAAAGGTATGACAACTGATAAACTTAATATTTACCATGAAGATTCTGTGTTTGGGACCTCACCTTTCTGTCCCACACTTTATTACAAAAACCTCTACTCCTTGAATTGTAGTTCTCCCAATTTCTAGTCCTCCTGGTACCCTAAACCACCACTTGGGAATCTGGCCAAAAACACAAACCATATACACTTATAAGATACATAATCAAAGAAATTTATATAAATTTATGTAGATTAATACATACAACACGTGATCAGATTGGTAAAACTGTGTAAGCCTGAAAGTTCTTTGAACTTACTTGATATGAGAAATATATTTACCTATAGATATTAATACATAACTGGGAGCCAAGAATATGCAATACATAAAATTCATTGTTTTCACAGAAAATCCCCAACATTTTCTTAGCAACACTCTATCTAATCTTGAAAAGAGTGATTTGAGTTGTAAAATCAGGAAATTATCTAAAGCCCTACACAGTGCATGATCTGATTTACTATGTTTATTTTGAGTTCTATTTATTTAGTAAACAATTTTTGAAGTACCGCATGTTAATTTTATGCCCCAATAGCAAGAAATACCCAACCAGAAAAAATATGTGGTTTCACTTGATCAAATGTGTTTCATATATTATGCTGAAACAAATTCAAAGCTTTATGTAGAACTTATTTTACTAGCATAATACTGCTAACATTTAAAGGCAATATAGCATTTACATCCCCTTCACTTATAAATTTAAGGGACAAAACCTCACTGGACACTGTTGACACACTAATTTTTAGCACACCTAATGAACAATGCATGATGCACTGCAGACATGGTTGTCTACTTGTCTGTTTCAACATAATGTTAACTCTTGTTCACAGAGGTTAGTGGGGTACCTTGGCATTTGCATTATGTGTTAGGTCTGTGTAAGACTGATGATTCTATCCCTTCCATGTGTTATGAGACACCTAAGAATTTTAGCCTTGGTTTTTGATTTGACCTGCACAGCCAATCAGGTGAATCCGTAACTTGATTTTTAAAATTTGGGTAACGTATATATTTGTGGTTTTATCACTTCATACCATGGTTTAAAGGTAAAGGTTCCCTTGCTCGAAATCCAGTCGAATCCAACTCTAGGGTTGCGGTGCTCATCTCCGTTTCAAAGATGAAGAGCCAGCGCTGTCCGAAGACATTTCCGTGGTCATGTGGCCGTCATGACTAAACACCAAGGCGCACGGAACACTGTTACCTTCCCACTGAAGTGGTACCTATTTATCTACTTGCAATTTCTTGCTTTCGAACTGCTAGGTTTACCAATTAGTAAAAAGTAAATATACTGCCCTACACAATTCCTAAGGATAATCAAGTGAAAAATATTAATTAGAACTTTGAACTGCCATGCTGCCTAATATTGTATTAGCAATGACATCTATTAATTGTTAATTTTATGAAACGTCAGAAATTGAAAGCTTTGGAAAATATGGAAGACTAACCAAAAAGATTACCATACTTACGCATGTGGACAAATGTACTTTACATGTGGGCTCCTGATCCCAGCAAATGCTTCAGCCCACCCATGCCTATTGGAACACAAAGAACAGTTTATTACACTTTGTTCAACAATCCTACCAACCCACTAAATGAAAGTTCTGTTTTTCATACCCTTGCTTTCACAAAACCCTCAAAGCAGCAGAAACAGAGTGGGACCATCAGCAATCATGGAGTTTGTGCATAAGAAAATATAAGAATTGCAAATTTAGATTAAACAAGCCTGGTTCCTAACATAGGTGTATCAAACAGAAGTTCACTTGAAAGAACTAAGACAAATGTTTGAGTAAAGGAACAGAACAATAGTCTACTTTGTATCCTGTACCAATGACTATATTTCCAGTGGGTTAGATACAGCATGATGACATGGGGGCACTATTTTATGTCTCCTGTCTACTTTGCACTCCATGGTGTTTCAGGAGGATCCTTGTCCCCTCAGGAGCGTAATTCAGGGGCTGAGCAAGCTTCAGGAAGGTGCAGAAGAAGGCAGAAAAGTTACCTTAGAGTTTTACTTGTGACTACATGAATTTCAGTCACAACTTTTTAGTCACAAGTACTGTATTTTCCTATTGTCCATCAATTTAAAAAAGACATGTATGGAATGAGAGTTAGAGCTAGTAGGATAGAAACAAATACTGTATGCCCAGCATATCCTACTGTTTTCTTTTTCTTCTCTATCCTGCAACAACTCTCTACGGTCTTTCTGTTTTGCCCAGATGTGGGCTCCCTCGATCACATGCAACAGGTAGCCCCGATTAGTAAGCAGTGCTGTACATCTGTCTGCTTCCTTCTCAAAATCCTCTATCAAGGTAGAATTTCTTCTCCGTAGAGAGTTGTTGCAGGATAGAGAAGAAAAAGAAAACAGCAGTAGGATATGCTGGGCATTTGACTTCACCTCCAAGGCATATTTGATTAGAAATATAGCACTAAAACACTGGCACATCTTAGGTGATATACCAAACTGTGGGGCTCTACCATTTATAGGTTTTCGCAGGACTACCAATATAAGGGATAGGATCATTAGAGCGGATTTACCAGAGGAGGAAAGAGAAACAACTACCCCGAAAGGTCATTTCAAATGTCTTAAATGTGTAGCCTGCCCGCAGGCACGGGAGACCAAAACTTTGAGTTTCCCGGAAGTAGGCTTTAGGAAAGATATCAATTTTCTATCAACCTGTTCAACCAAAGGCATAGTGTACCTTTTACAATGTAGTTGTGGACTCAAGTATACAGGGAAGTCCTCATGTGCGCTAAAGACACGGGTATTGGAACATAAATCGCGTTTGAAACACAAATGTCCTGATGCCCCCCTCGTCCAACATATCTCGGAGAAAGGGCATAGTCCTGAGGATTTTAAATTTGTAGTGTAAGAGGTGGTCCACCCCAAACAATATAGTATGATGGATATGCAGGTGTTATTACGTAGAGAAGCCTTTTGGATATTTAGATTAAATATGTGTCAACCTGCGGGTTTAACAATTCATTAGATCTGGCATGTTTCCTGTAAGTCAGTTCGTTTTAGGTGATTCCTTGGTGTAAGTTTCCTTTTGCAGATTTGTTTATAAGTTTTGGTTTCTCTTTGTAAACTTGTCACATAGTTGTTATAATATCAAACAGACTTGTGTGGGTCTGTGTCAATTACCTTGTCTGATTGCCTTGTCAACTTCAAAACGTTAAGATTGTACCTTTAAGAAGTGAGATGCTACAGATTAAAAAGGGATGAAGAGTTTACACCTGCTAAGGCTTGATATTGAACTTGTTCGCCCGTTATTTGGAAAGACTTTACCTTGCAGGAGTATGTTCTACCTTTAGGGTAAGAGTATATAGTTTATTATTATCATCCATCGTTGTAAATTTTATTAACTGCTGTATTTTTCATGAAATGTGCACATAATAATAACGTTGTAATTCTATTGTAGGGATTGATGAATGATATTGAATTTAACCATGAAATGAGAAGAAACAACTGCTGTTGTATGTATGATTTTTAATGAGATTGCTTAATATATAGTTTTGTGGTACATTGTCTAGATATGAAGATAACGTCATATATTGTATTTTATGAAGGAGATTTTGATGTTTGGAAGAAGTTCTTCTTATGAAACGGAAGTTTAACTCTGGAGAATTTTTCTCCATCTGATATTGAAAATTGGAAATTCACAAAAAGATTATATTATATGTTCTGACTTTACTTAGTTCTGTAATTTGTAAGATTATAAGCGCTTTTTGCATCAATTACAACTATTATTCTAGCAGACCCTAAAGCAGGGGTCGCACATACAGTTCATGGGCCGAAACTGGTCTGTCCTGGGCTCTTACCTGGCCCATGAGCCACTGGTCATTTATTGCCAGATGACGGAAGCTGTGTATTCTGTCCTTGTTTACTGTTCCAGGGCTAATGAGTAATGGGTAGTAGAAGTGGAAGGGCAGGCATCAGGGAGATACCTTAAGGAAATGTTGTAACAATGTTTTAAGCATGTTTGTATTTTGAGTAAAAAAATAATATTGTCAATTGGGTTTGCCTGTGTCATTTATAAAGGTTATATCTCCAGTACCTGGCATTACATTTTATGGCACACATGGCCTAGCCCAACAAAGTGACATTTATGTCAGATCCAGCCCTTGTAACAAATGAGTTTAACACCCCTGCTCTAAAGGAATTTGCATGGCATGCCTTCACATTTCAAGTTAATGAAAGCTAGCAAAAGTAATAGGAAAAAGCCCTTAATAAATCACTCTTGCTAACCAGAAGCAGATGTGAACAGTTATGAGAAAATAAGTCTCCCCAAACAGCCACCATCATTTTAAATAACCAAGTCCCATGATGGAATGAATAGAAGAAAGCAGAATAAGAACATAAGAACATAAGAGAAGCCAATGTTGGATCAGGCCAATGGTCCCTGTAGTCCAACACTCTGTCACACAGTGGCCAAAAATACCAGGTGCCATCAGGAGGTCCAGCAGTGGGGCCAGGACACTAGAAGCCCTCCCACTGTTGCCCCCCCCCCCAAGCACCAAGAATGCAGAGCATCACTTGCCCCAGCCTGAGAGTTCCTATCTATACCTTGTGGCTAATAGCCACTGATGGACTTCTGCTTCATATGCTTATGAAGCTGTCCATGCTTGTAGCCGCCACCACCTCCTGTTATATATATATTATACGTCATATAAAAATATAACAGAAACAGACTACTTGGGCAGTGAGATAGGTTTCTCCAACTTCTCCCCTATGAAACTGCTTTGTGCCAGCTTGGTCCCTTGATCCTATTTGCTGATGCTATATAGCCATCTGGGGTTCAAAAACTGTAAGCTGATATGAAGAAGAAAAAGAGATTGGATTTATACCCTGCCCTTCACTTGGAGTTTCAGAGAGGCTTACAATCTCCTTTCCCTTCCCTTCCCCACAGCAGACAACCTGTGAGGTAGATGGGGCTGAGAGAGCTCTGAGAGAACTGCTCTTTCAAGGACAGCTCTGACGGAACTATGGCTTGCCCAAGGTCATCCACCAGGAGTGGGGAATCAAACGAAGTTCTCCCAGATTAGAGTCTGCTCACTTAACCACTACACCAAAATGGAGCTGGTAAGAAGTCAGGCCATAAAAAAGTAATATGGAAGGGGGCAGGAGGAGGATGAAAAAGGTCAAGTAAAGAAAAGCCATTGTTTAGTAGATTACAAAACACTTTGCATGTTAAAAGATTCCAAAATGTTCTCTAACACATGTAATTAAAAGAAAAGGGGTGGGAAAATCTATGCCACTCTCAGTGAACCACTGACGGAGTACTAGGCTGTATGGACCATTGGTCTGACTTGTTATAAGGGACCTTTTTTGTGGAATTCTATCTGAATGTGATGGAAACATTGATATTTGCCATAAACAGTATTTTGCTTTTGGTAACAAGCTATCCTGAACCAGCTATAAAATAACCTCTTTGTATAGAAATTACTAGAAAGCCTGAGTTAAAAATGATTTGAGTTCATGTCTTTTACATACATTATTTTAACCATTTCCAACTTAGTCAACAACAAGAAAGGGGACCCGCAATACTCGCGGGGGGGGGAAGAGCTCCACGCAGAGCAAGAGGAGGAGGAGGAAGCAGCAGCAGCAGGTAAGCTTCCCCCCATCCCTGCCGATTCCCCCCGTCCCATCTCCTCCACCCCCTCCTCTGGCTCAGGGGGTGAGGCCCGAGTGGCTGGCAGCCACTGGGCCTCACCGATCTCCCCCTCGCCGGTCTCCCCCCTGGCTCTGGAAGCGAGGCCCGAGCGGCTTGCAGCCACCGGGCCTTCGCAGATCTCCCCCCCCCGCGCATGCGCAGGGAAGGCTCTTTTACCTTTTTGGGGATTTAAATATCCCCTCTATATTTTTTTCAACTTTTTAGATTTTTGTGCACACCTGGGGACTGCCCCGGCTCTGGAAGCGAGGCCCGAGCGCCTTGCAGCCGTGGGGCCTCGCAGATCTCCGCAGATCTCCTCCCACCCCCAATCTCCTTCTTCCCCTTCCCCCTGGCTCCGGTGGTCTCCTCCGCCGCAGCCGATCTCGTCCCCCCCCTACGGCAAGGCCTGAGCGGCTTCCAACCGCCAGCCCGTTGCAGAGTTCCAACAGTTTTACTTTTGGGGGGGATTTCAGTATCCCCCCTATAGTTTTTTTTACAGTTTTTCGATTTTTCTGCACATTTGGTGATTGCCCCAGATGTTCAGGAAAATCTCCCTGCCCCCCAGGTGCCCCCGATGTGTGGATTTAGATATCCGCACACACTGGGGACACTTGGCTATTAGTATATAGATGTGTTCACATCATTAAAAAAGGGCTCCCAGTACATCCTTAAACACTTAATATGAACTAAGCCAAAATGTCAGTACTGATTCCTCCCTATTGCCAAATCCCTAATAATTCAGGAGATTTAGTTAACTTAAAAATCTACATGATGAACTGAAAACGCCTGATATGGAAAAAAAATGCAGCATAGCAGAGCCCCTAACAAATTAGATAGCAACAATTTTTCCTCATAATTCATCAATAGCAAAATGCACTTTCAAGGGCTGATATCATGTGTTAAGAAATGTATTTCTTACCCTGTATCTCCTAATCCATGAAGAAATATGACCTAAAAGTCAACAACATATGAATTAGAATATTTCTTTTCAAAATTACTTGAGATAAGCTAATAGCTGCATTGACATCACAGACTCATTCCATATATAAATATAAGAGAACACAGCCAATTTAGACCCAAGTCTATGAATGGAAACTCATGTAATCAGACTTGAAGATCCTACTGCAAGCTGAAGGGCCCTCTCACAAGTACTACAACCCAACCACAGCTTCACCAACATATCAAAAATAATATGTTTCTCTATGTTACTGTACCACACTGGGGAACTTATGGCTTCTTCACATTTGTTTGTATTTGGAAGGTTATTATACTCTTTTACAAATCTGTTAACAGTCCTTTAAAAAATAACTCCATGCCTTATCTTCATATTAGTATTAAAATATTTATTTCTTGCATAGCATTAATTTCTGGTTACATCCATCTGTACTCTGAATTTTTAAAGCAGCATTATTTATTATAAAGTTTTACTTGATTTTTTTGTATATGTATTAATACTGCTCATTTGTTGAGCCACATTTGAAGATTCAGTGCTCCTAAAAAAACCCTTTACATTTTTCTCTTAATTTCCTTTATTTTCTGTTTTTGTAGAATACAGCTAGAAATACCATTCAAAACTACTTCTGCATCACAAGTGCTCTGTATATTTTCTGTGTGGGGGCTCACTGTGTAGATCAAGCTTCATTGCATCATTCCCTATAAAAATGTGCACCAACCGCTGCATTCTTACCTGGAAGCAAGCTGCACTGAAGTACAGCTTGTTTCCAAGGAAACATGCAAAGAATTGTGCTTCACATTTTAAAAATAGGATACATTGCATGGGGTGGGGGCATCTAATGCAGCAAACCAGTACACGGTGGAGCAGCCATTAACAGAGGCAATTTCAAGCAAACTTCATATAGCAGTAGCATCAAGTGAAACAGCTGTTACCCTGTACTGCCAATGCCATGGCTGGTCTCACAAACATTTCTAGGAAGTAGAGATGTGAAATTTCTGAAAATTTTCAAACTATGAGAAAAAAAAATCGGGAAAAAGCAAACCCCCCCCCCAAAAAAAATGGAAATTCAGAATAAAATTGAAATATATGCAATACTTACTATCCTATCAAACCTAAACTAATTTTACTGCTTTAACAATATAAAACTCATCATCTACTTAGAATACAAAATGGCTATATTTGACATATTTATGGATGTTAAGAGTTTTATACAAGTACGTGCCTAAGTTTTATACAAGTACATTTTCAAATATAACCAATACTTGAGAAAATTGCAAGCTGATACTTTCTAATCGATGCTGTTTTAAGCACATGTACTTTACTTTTTGCTATCTGGTTAGAGACCACTCAGTCTCAATTAAACTTTTCAAAGTTTCTCCAAGGCTTTGGTGCACTTTCTGCCCAACTTCTGATCTTTTTTCTCCTCCAGCAAGTCAGGGCAATAAGCTACCTTTTACCCAATCTGTAGGTCTATGTGTCACAGTGATTTGAGGGAGAGGTGAAAAGGTTAACCCCAAGTCAGGTCAAAATGACAACGGCAAGTAGGCAGCAGTTGAAAAGCAATTAAAGCCCCTCATGAAGATTAGGTATCTTACTAGGTGCAGAAATGCATCTTGGATTTAAGAGTTGTGACTTCAGCATAACTAGCTTTGGCTTTAAAAGCTTTTCACTTGTTCTAAAAAGGAAAACATTTCATAGGAGGTTTCCCCCCCCAATACTCTCCCAAAATTCCATTTTTTAAAATTCAAAAAATAAGTCTTGGAAAAGGTCCCCCCCCCCAAATTTCTCCAGCTTTTCATATCTCTGCTAGGAACCAAGAAGCTATTAAAAGCAAAGCTATAGTAATACTGCTGTCTCCTACCTTGCAATGCAAGCTTGGGAACAAGGGTGAAACTCCCCAGCAGGCCACAGAACTGAGGAGTGAAACCGGGCATATAGTTGGGAGGGATGATTTTTTAAAAAATATTATTATTTCTGCTTGAATGATGAGTACAGTCTTCAAGGGCCTACAGCAATGCCAACCTATTAAATAATTTGCATTGCTCAAATTAATAAAGAAAATAACCATATATATTGGTAATTAGTACAACTATATTCATAGCATTTATTCAACATTAATTTATTTCCATCAATCCTATTAAATCCCACTGAACATAACAGAGCCAAGTAAACATGCTTCAGACTGAGCTGTAAGCAGATGAATTCCTGATCCTGTTTATTTGGAACATTCCTGCACTCTTAGCTGTTATTCACACTGTTAGTTATTTTAATGCAAGTGCTCATGTTCAGATACTTATGAAGGAGACAGCTAAATAAGATAGTTTGTTGCAACAAGCTCTGCTTATAAAAACATGAACATTTTGTGATTTTTCAGGTCTTTTTCAACCATTTCTCTAATTTCATTACCATGATGAAAGCAACGAATTTGGCAATAAGACAGTCAAGCTATCTGGCCAAAAAAATATTTTTAGGTCTTGCCCATAACACAGGACAATTGGCAAAGAGGAAACCAACAAGAGGCATAATTCTAACTGTAATCAATAAATGCCTGATATTACTATGTTGTGTTTTTATTTACAACATATGCCCAACTATAGGGAAACTTCATGTGATCATTTCTAAAGATTAACCTTGTTCATACTCCTATAGATTAAAACTGAACTAGTCATACCAGTGAACATATAAATGAAATCCTCATGGGAAAAAACTAGTGTTCACAGAATTGTTTAGCATGCAGGTTAAACATTAGTTCATTTGGCAGGGTATTTTGAGTTCAGTGCTACATTAAAATGAAATACCACTGCTAACTACACTGAAGTGAGCACTCTTAGGATTGCACAATACTACAATTAAAAAGCTAATTTTAATTAACTGTAATACTTGTATTATTGTATTTTATACTGCTTTTATTGTTACAATTTGGCATTTTGCCCTTGTTAGCCACCCTGAGCCTTCGGGGAGGGCGGGATACAAATCCAAAGAATAAAATAAAAATAAATAAATAATGAAGCTAATAAAAATCCTCCAATGGCAGAGGAATTGTATTAAAAACAGGTATCATCTACCAAGGCTACTAAATAGTCGTGTAATAAGCATATTTACTCATTCAGACTTCTTCAACGTTTTAGGTCCAGTTGATTAGAACCAAACCTGGCAGATGTGTGGCTTTTGCAGACTCTCCATCCCACAAACTCTCCACAGCGCACCCCGCCCTGTGTCTTTCCATCGCCTTGAGGTCTGCGTTTCAGGGGGCAACGTGAGCCGCGGCAGAGCAGGGGAGGCTCTCAGAGAGCTTTTTCTTGACACAATCAAAGAGCGAGCGAACACCGCTAACAAAATACTGTCAATGAATCTGCTCAATTAGCATGGTCTTCGCAAAAGCAAAGACAGACCTCCAATCTCCTACGAGAGAGGCTTTGCCACCGGGCGGACACTCTCTTCCAAAGCACCTCTAGCCTAAACAAGGCGTCAAGCATCCCACTGACAGAAGGCCGCCTTTTCAAGAACCAGTTACAAAATGTCAGTGCCCCAGTCATTAATGCCTCGAAGCGCTGAAAGTGTCGCGTCCCGAGCAAAAGCCTGGAAGAGGGGAGGGCAGCCCTACCGCTAGGGGGCAACCGAACGGGCCGCGCCACAGGCTGCCCCAGCAGGAGACGCGCGCTTTCCCTGGCCGGCCTCCGACACGACTCTGCCCGCCCGGCCGAGCTTTTCTCTCTCCTCCCTCACAGGACGAAAGCCGCGAGGGGCTCGCTGAGCTTCCACTTACCGCGGCGGTGGCCTTCTTAGCGGCCGGGACGATAGCAGGGAGCGGGGCGGACATGTTGTTGCCGCACATACACTGGATTCTCCGCAGCGACCAGTGAGAAATTGCCGGGGAGGGGGGGGAGAGAAGGAGGAAGGTCGGGGAGGGTGGAGAAACGGGCGATGCGAGGAACGGATTGGAAGAAGGGAAAGGAAGAGGGAGGGAGCCGGGAAACGGCGAGGAAGCTCCCCAAATGCTGCCCCGCCCCCTCTCTCCTTTGCTTGCGTAAACTCCGCGCCAGAAGAACCGTTAAAAGTGGCGCGGGTGACAGACAGACTCGGGCGCGCGCACGTCTCCGAGCTCGCGACTGCCCAGTACGTTTCCCATTGGTTGGATCAAGCATTGATGGACGGCCGGAGCTGGCATTGTGGGACTTCTCTACCAAACCGTAGGGATAGAGGGTCTTGTGGACGCACACCAAGATTCCCTTCTGACGTCTGACGTCATGCTTTCCTTCCCCTCTTTAGAAGTGACAGCTGGCGAGATGCAAGAAGCGATCTTACCGCTTGCTGTGATTTCAAAGCAGCGATCTCCCCTTCTCCCCCCAATAAAAGTAAATATAGGCATTGGCGCAGGTTTAAATGTGTGAGTGAACACAGTGACTTTTTTTTTGCAGTTCTTGCGCAGCAGATATTATTGCCCCATGTTGCACGAGAGTCGGTTACGACAGTGCTGTAATAGTCCACTAATATTTCCTCATATTGGAGTTTGCACACACCTTGTTATGATTTACATTTCACCGGAGCTGCGATTGTCAGATTGTTGCTTACAAAATACTTTCTACCCAAGCTTTTAAGAGTTGTCTTTAACTCGTTTTTGTTGGCGAAATATACCGAAAACAGATGCATGTCTCCATACTACGCACTGTACTCGTTTCATCAATATATAGATGGAGGATAGAAGGAATAATACGTAACATTATCTACACAGACGTCATTAACAATATTCATTTATCAGCGCAATCCGAATGGGTTTAATAGTAACAGGTACTGACTGGATTTTTTTTTTGGGGGGGGGGTTGATGCATTACGTGTTTTCAATATGGCTATGCGATTAAAATTTACACCACAATCCGATTCAGATTTATGCTAATCAGTGGATTTAGACAGAATTAAATTTGCGTAGGATCGCGCTGTAAATAGTCCGGAATCCTCATACAGTCATGTCATACTGAAAACACAGTGCGGCAAAGGAGATCTTACATAAAGCACTGCTTGAATTATCATGTCCATCAACTTGCTCTTCCCAGCCTAGATCTCAGCTGAATGCAGACGCGGTTTAAACCCGATTCAGTTGCACGCCGATAATAATATAAAATGAAACGCCGAAACTTCTCTGGTCTTTCTGGCACTTTAAAGACGACTAAAAAAATCTATCATAAACTGTCGTGGTCTAGAGCCTATTTAGGGCGCCACAGGCCTTCTGCTTATTTCCTCTGCAATAGATTTATAGCGCAGCCCTAAAGACACGTTGCTGGAAGAAAGTCCCATCTGAGTAGGACGGCTCCCAATAACTGCACTCTATGGTTGAATCTGCACTCTATGGTTGAAGCTCGCCAGTCACGTTGCGCTTGCGCAATGTGCACTAGTTCGCCTTGCTTCGGCGGTGGCGTTACCTCGTTGCCCTCTGCTGCTGTCGGCTTCGCCGATAATGGCAGCAGCGTCTGGTGTTGGTGGCGGCAACAGAAGCAAGGCCTTAGAGCTGCTCCGTACCTTGCCCAGGGTCAGCCTGGTCAACCTGCGGCCTAATGATGGCGCCAGGCAACGGGTGAGTTGACTTCTGTGATGCAGGGCAGCTCCGGGCCTGCTTCTTTGTTGACTGCTCCAGAGGCCCCTTGGTGGGCCGGACTCGCCTTTCTGCGGGTTACTAACTTCTCTTTCGGATAGGGTTACTATGCTCTTAATTAGTGCGCGAGCGGGTTTTCCTGTCGTATAGTTGTTATAAAGGTGTAAAAGGAAAGGGAGCAAGTCCAGCCTTATTTTGCACCAACTGCGATTCAGTGACCTTCCTTCGTTTTAGTTCATAAATTGTTTGAGAGTCCGTTATGAGACTTAAAAGATGCCTCGGCATTTGTTTCTGTATAACCACTATTGGTTCTTTTATTCATCCTGCTGTGTTTTAAAAGCTAATCGGTTTGTTGTGGTGCAAGGTGTTCTGGTAAAAGGCCTTTCTCTGATGTGTAGTCTCAAAAGTGGTGCGTGTTTGTAGACAGACAGAAGCACACATAGATAACGCTCTCTGGTTTGGAGTACAGTGGGGACATTAATCGGGATACGTGCCTTACCACTCTTTTTTGTAATATACATTTTCTCCTTCTCTCCCTGATTACTGTGCTCAGTGTTCAGATGCCTGTGGGGATGAGGGGTGTCTGCATCTATCAGAATATGAAGGAGACATTCTGTCAGAATGGCCCTAATATACTGCTTTTCTCATGCTATTAAGGCTGCTGTTTTTGTTGCTTAGGAAACTTTGGTCTTTGCCACACGGGACGGCTGAAACGCGGCTCCTCAGAGGCGCACCGAACTTGAGACGCCGCGGCGGGATCCCACGGATCCCCTCAGCCGCGGCACATCGCTCCCCGGCATCTCGGGGAGCAAGAGTCCGATAGGAGGGGGAGGCTGCCAAACTGCGCATGCTCGAGCATGCGCAGTACGGCTGGGGGCCGAGATGCGGCGGCGCAAGGACGCGCCGCCCGATTCCACAGCCCGCCTTGAGCCGCTTCAAGGGATACAACCACCTAGGTAGGTGGTGCTTTTTTGCAGCGCGGTATTGGCGTTTGGGACGGAACAGGGACAGGCAGGCAACGATTCCCAGATGTTGCCGTGGGATTGTGCCCATTCGCTCCGCCCCCGTTCCGTCCCGCTCCCGGCCCAAAAGGCCTCATATGAACAGGGCCTGTGTTATACAAATAGAACTTCAGTGACAGAGGTATTCAAAAGGGTATTGAATGAGACAGGATATACACCTGTTGCAAATGCTTATAACAAGAGATGTGTAGTTTTTCCTTTAACATTTTCAGACCAATATGAAGCATGTGTTAATGACTAAATGGTATCCTGTCTGAAGACTGGTATTTGCCCATTTTAGGCCCTGGTCACACGAGTTGCCGCAGGAGAGGCACAGAAGGTGAGCGGATTATCCGGGCGCGATCACACCCCAACATCTGGGAAGTGGAGCGCACCCGTGGCTTACCTCCAACAATGCACATTTAAACGTTTGCCACGAGCTGCTTCCAGACGCCCGTGGTGTGATCGCACCGGCGCGCGGCATTCTCCTCCGGTCCCTCGTTTACCGCTGGTGCTGAGGGAAGGACCCGTTCTGTGCCGCCGGCGCATCTGATCGCGTAATCGTGGATCAAACTGCGCCGGGGAATTAGCCACGCCTCCCCCCCCATGATATCCAGCCCGTGTGACTGGGGCCTTAGTGGGTCAGATAAATGCAGGAAGGGAAGTTAGTCCAGACATCCAGTGGACATCCTGAGGAAAATTGCAACCTCATGGCTGCAATCACACACCCTAAATAATCCACTTTCAGTCCACTTTCCAACTGGATTTTTCCAGTTCACATAGTAAAATCCAGTTAGAAAGTGCATTGAAAGTGCATTGTTTAGTGTGTGTGATCACAGTCAATGTGATGTCTAATGTGACAATACTCAAGGTCTGTAAGCTAAATGAGCAGGATAATTAAAGTATCGGGCTAAGTTGATCTAAGAAGCTAAGCAGGGTCAGTCCTGGCTAGTATTTGGATGAGAGATCTCCAAGGAATATCAGAGTCATGATGCAGAGGGCGAGGCGGGCAATGGCAACCCACCTCTGAATATCTTGTGCCTTAAAAATCATATGGTGTTGTCAGAAATCACCTGTGACTTGATGGTACTTTCCACCAAGTAACTTTCTGTAACAAACTGATGTAAGATTATTATTTTTTAGGAAAAAAGACGTGGACGTGGGATGCATGGAGGTAGGAAAAGTGGCAGAGGTCACAAAGGACAAAGGCAAAGAGGAACCAGGCCTCGGTTAGGCTTTGAAGGAGGTCAGACTCCATTTTATCTGGTTATTCCAAAATATGGCTACAATGAAGGACATAGGTAAGTTTGTGATTATGCTGGGTGAAATGTCTTTTGCAGCTTGCATTTTCTGTAGTCCAAATTAATCTTTTGTGTGCTTAATTACCTTTTCTCTTTTTGATCCATGACCCACATTGCCAACTGTAAATCCACTAGAGGGGTTATTTAAAATTGTGTGTTCTTGCATAGCCACACACCACTAAAGATATGTGTATTCATTTGTAAATGTTTGCTCTCATGCACATAAATGCAGTTATTAGAAAAACATGCTTGAACTTGGCTCAAATAAGAAAGAGTCATTTTTTATTAAAACAGTGTCTTCTACATTGGGGGAGAGGGCATTAAAAGTGTTGGTTTTTTATGCAGTGCTTGAGGAAAACAAAAGGGAAATACTGTGTAAAAACACAGCCACTGCTGAAGAGCTAGGGAAAGGAAGGAAGGCGGGGGGAGACAGTGACTTCTCTCCAATCTTTGCCCTGGTTTGAAGCTATGGGATGGGGAGGAACTTCAAATACTGTTTGGTCAGGTAACTCCCATTTTCCCTAAGCCTGAGCCTGACTGTACTGCAAATGAATAGCTTGAAGTTACATTTTCTCCAGTAGCAAGCAAGAGATTGGAAGATACAGTTTGGCATTCCAGTTAACAGTGGGAGCTATGTAAACTTATGTGACCTTATTCTGTGGTCTATTGCCTACAAAAGTAAGATAATTAGAGGTACAGTGTAGTCCTGTACAATGTTCCCTCTAAGCTGTAGAGTCCTGTGAGCAAAAATTCTACTTTATGAGCTACCAGCATTAAAGTTGTGAGCAGGTGATTTGGCTACTGCATGAATTAGTTTGCTCTGGAGCCATCCTTCCTGAGCTGAGACAAAAATGTGTGAGCCAGAGGCTAAAAAACTGTGAGCTAGCTCACACTAACTCAGTTTAGAGGGAACACTGGTCCTGTACTATTGAAGTGAGAGGGAACAGAATACTGTCAACAGGAGAAACCCAGGTGTGTTGTCTTAACACGTTGTATCATACTATAACCCTATACTGAAATCAGTTAATTTCCCCATACTTCTTTCATACTACTTCAATTATTTTTGTATATCCTACTTAATTATATTTTTGTTTATCTACACCACATGAAAGAGAGGATGGAACCCCTGACTTCATTCATTATGTGTAACAGCCTAATCCATTCCAGTCCCTTACA